AAGAACAACAGAATATCTTCACATAGGAACAGGATGGTATTAAGGGAATCTGTCTAGGAACTTAAGGAAATAAAGAACAATATTTTTTCATTTTTTCAAATAATTTGCATGCAAAAAATTGTCATAGACCTAACTGTTTCTAATTAGACATCTATAAAGGCAGTGGTTAAAACATAATCCCTCTAAAATTTAGTATATACAAGGTACATCTGATTGCCAACAAACACTAATGTACAAACGTATTGGAGAATGCAAACTGCACTAGCTACAGCTGCTCCTTCCGAAAGCAATTTGAGAAATGTTTCTCTCTTCGACTTGTCAAAATCCAATCCAGAAGCAAATAAGAGAGCATCATAGGAAACATTTCAACAAGGAACATAATATTAGGCACCAGATTTATAGTGGGTGCTGATTATTTAGAATTATAGAATTGAAGGACTGAAATGAAAGAGGAAAGAGAAATGAAAGAAGCATAAGAAACAATAAATCAGATATCTTGTGTATCTTGGTTTCACCCTTTTCTACTTCTTCAGAAGAACCCAATTTTATAAAGTAACGCATATGCTCGATGTACTTCTCATATGTGAAAATGGAAACCTCCATTACAATGCACATGCCTTTCAAATCATTGTCCAAGTCCTTTTATCTCGAACAGACATCTTTAAAGAGTTGCTCTCACTGTGTTTGCATCTTTGCTTACAACCACAAACTGCAATATTGCTTCTATCTACACTGCTCTTCTCAAACTGTTGTCATGCTAGACAATCTCTCCTCTGCCAGTTAGTGGACACGCTTTCCAATCTTCATCTCGTTCAATCTCTTTGTGGCATTTGGAAATACCCTCTACTTAATCTGACATTCTATCCTCCTTTGTTTTCTGGGACAACAACTTCTGACTCTCCCACTTTCTGCCCATGTTGGTCACTGGGTGGTGGGCACCTTTTCTCCATCTACCTTTAGTGTTCACCTCTCAAGGTTCCTTCCAGCTTTGGCTCTGTCTTTTCCCTCTTCTAAGTTGTAGGTTGAGTAATTTCATTCATTTCCGTTGCTCAGGCCATCATCAATATGCTGACATATACATTTATAGCAGGGTTCCTGATATTTTGATGTGGCTATTTTGATTCAGCCTTCAAAAGAAACCTTTTTATTTTCACTCTTACGATGCTCAAAACTGGCCCTCTCATCTTATCACTGCACTTCATCCTATCATATTACGCATGTTTTATTGTTGAATTCCAGTCAACCATCTGGAAACAAATAGTTTATATGATGCTTAAACTGCTATGGTTTCTAAAAACAAAACAAAACAAGAGAATCCCAAATCCCTTTATGAAGCTAAGAAAATCTGACAAAATTAGCCCACACTCAGTTAAATTTAAAATGAAGAACAAACATGTACCAATCAAGAATATAACTGAAAAATTCTAAGTTAAATATTAGCAACTTGAATTTGTATTATGGTACATTTGTGGTTTATTTAGAAATGCAGCAAGGAAAAAACATAATCATGCACACAGATGCTCAGTGGTCATTTGATAACACTTAAAATTCATGTTTAGGCTTGAAAAAATAAACGGATATGATTTAAAATGAGGTTATCCATTATAGCCATTTTCCCACTGGACAGGTAAAATGAACCTTTTTTGGACCCAAGTTTCACTAATTTTTTTTAAATCAATCTATACAGATTGCCTTAAATCTCTGGCTTGAAATACAGTCTGTACTTTCCTTTTTATAATATTCTTTTGCCTTTGAAATTATAATATTAACTTCTGATCTCCCCACCAGACTGAAACCACCTTGAAGATATGCATTGCTACCCACAATGTGTGTGTGTAGCTTAACATGTGTGGGTATACAAGCAGTTACATAATTTACAGGGCCCAGTGCAAAGTGAAAATAAGAGTGCCCTTGTCCAAAAATAAGCATTAAACCAAGCACGGAGCCCTTTTTAACACAGGCCACTGTGCAATTACACAGAACACATGCCCATAAAAACATCAAATTTGTGCGTGTGTGTGTATGTTCAAAATATGTTGAATAGTATGCTGGAAAATTAAGTCATAGGAACTTCAGAAAATATCCTTAGAAAGAACAACAGCTAGCATTCAGATTTCAGACTATGAAGAATAGTTATAGTTGTATAAAAGTAGTTCAGATAATTAGTTAATAAAATGTTTCTAGGTTAAGGATAGTAGACTATTTTGATTGAAGACTGTAGAACATTTAAAAAGACATTGATTAACTTCCAACAATTGTCTCTAAGTTGATTTTCATATTGTTTTATTTAAATTTTTCTATTACGTTGTACTATTCATTCTGAGAATGTTGTCTTCCCTCTTAGTATTTATTGGTTATAATTCATAAACTTTATGTACTGTTTCCATGTTGACTTTTCTGCACAATCCATTGAGGCTATGAGTAAGTGTAATAACCACTCCATTTCTCTAATCACAAAACAGCAGCACATAAAAATTTATAAGACAGTTTATCCATGTCCACCTGTCTTATGAAAAATAATGTTCAGTTCATCAAAATTTCAACCATTCATTTAAAATTTTGGAGTTTTTTGGCAAAAGGTATTAATTCTCTGATAGAAACATACCAACTTGATGTGGTAAGAATGTGCCCACTTTCAAACAACGGCAAAAATTCCAAATCCTTTATGAATACACTCTGAAGAGTGAGTCTTCCCATTTGGGGTCAGAGTGGGGAATTTACATCTCTCTTGGAGCTCTGAATAATTTCCCCTCGTGCTTCCCCAAAGCTTGCTTATTGTGCGAGGTTTAATGCTGATTGTTGTGAAAAAGGAAGACAGATTTCCTCTCCAGGAAGTTATTGATAGATGTTCTTTTATCTGTCCCTGAAAAGTGAAAGAAAAAAAAAAGAAGTGCAGACTATATGCAATTTCTATACCTCAATGCTACTGTGAGGGATGTTAAGTAAATAAATAACCAACCTAATGTGTTTAGGTATAGAATTCCCTTTTAAAAGTCACTCTGGCCTCCAGTGTCTCCACTGCTCACCTGGGCTCTAGGTCCAGTCACATAGTCCCTCTCCCCTTCTCACCTTTGTCCTCCTCTCTTTATGCTGTTCTGTGTCCCTCTGCCCTCACATCCTTTCTCTTTCATGCATGTTCCCATTCATGGTGTTCTCTCTCTCTCTCTCTCTCTCTCTCTCTCTCTCTCTCTCTCTCTCTCTCTGTCCCTCACAGAACTGTCTGAACGCCTGAGTGCTAGACACTGTTCCTAGTGGAAGGAAGCTTGGCTGGCACAGGGCCAGTGTGGCTGGAGCCACAGATGGTCAGGGGAGACAGCAGAGCCCAGGTCACAACAGGAAGGGGCCAGAGGATGGTCCCAGAGGGTGGCAAGTGTAAATCAGATATCCTGCAACTGTAAGGAGAACAGGTCATGGGCAAGAGTGAGAGGGGCATTCTGGACTGCAGGGTGTTGATGGTGAGCCCACAGGCAATGATCAGAACAGACAGACTGGATTTGGGTTTGTTTCAGAGGCAGAGCTGACCAGACTTGCCTATGGATTGGATGTGGGACATGAGACTAAAAGAATAATGAGTGATCCAGGTTTCAGGCTTGAGCAACTCGGTCTCACTCTCTCTTTTATTGCTATTCTCTTTCTTCCTCCCCTGTTTTCCTTCCCTCCTTAACAGAACTGGAATGCTCCTATTCCCCAGTGAACTCCTGCTTGGGTTGAAATACAGAATTCACAATCTTTCCTAAGGTCTCCACACTGGGGCAAAGATGTATCCTCATGACACATGACCCTGTCCCCCTCCTGGCATCAATTTCCACGTTTTTTGTAAGCACTTCTAACTCAGAGTTCCACGCATGGACTCCGGAGCCCAAATGGAGCAGGTTTGTGCCCAAGCTCTGTTACCAACTACTAAGTGAACTCTGCCAAGTTACTCATGGAAGTCTCAGTTCCCACATCTATGAAGTGCAGATAAGAAAATTGTCTACCTCATAGAAAATGTTGCAAGAGACCATATGTGCAAAGTGCTTAATACCTGTATAGAGCAAATGCCAGACACAGAACAGCCGGTATTATACCCCGTACACCTTCATTTGAGAATATCAGAAATCAAACTAAAACAAGACCTATCTAACTAAATAATTCAGACCTGGAAAAAAAATTAACTCCTCAGTAACACACAGTAAAAACCGATAGTGTGATTTATTGCCAATTCAGATAAATGTGAGTGTCACAGCTATTTCATTGTAATAGTCAGACTCCATTTCCTCCACCTAATTTGGGCTTTGATTTCTACACCAGAAGATACCACTTACCAGCGTAGGTGGACCTACAGGATCATTTTTTCGTGAGGTCTCACCTGAGCAGGTGCATGGGCAAAGAGCGGAAAGAGACTGACGAGAGGGGTTGGAAGTGCTGAGGGCGTGACGCTCTCAATTCTTTTTATTTCCTTTTTTTAATAAGATGACTTGGCATCCTGCACCATACCGCGTCAATAGCGGCGACGCCCCCTCCGTGGCGTCCTCTCGCAATAGCCCAGCTTTCACCCTACACTGCTGTTCCTTCCGTGGACACAGTGGCAGCCGATGTTTTATAATCCCAGTGGCCTAGCTCTGGTAAGGCTGTTAGAGGTCATCTGGAAAGTGTCTTGCCTTGAACCACTCTGAGTCAGAAGTCCCCCTCGGTCCTCCTGCGGCGTCCTCCTCTGGTCCTGGTCCAGGTGCACAGGAAACACCAGGGGAGGACGCAGGTGCGCGGGGGAGGGGGGACGCTGAAGGCGCCCGGTGATGAACCCAAAGCTCGAACCTGCAGACCCAGCGAGAAGTAGAAACTGAAAGTACACTGCAGAGGATCCTACGGAAGTTCTAGGAAAGGCAGAGCGCAGAGCCAGGCCGTGGCGTGTGCCGCCCACCCTGGGATGGATGAAGCAGCGGGCGCGGCATGGGGCAGAGGCGGCCACCCGGCACCTCGGCGCACACCAGGGTCCTGGCAGTGACCATGGGCTGTGAGAGCCCGCTCGTGCTGCAGCTGCGGTCATGATGACCACGTCCGCCTCCCGCAGACCATGTTCCATGGTAAGCGCTCCGCTCCCGGTGCACAAGTTCGCGCGCCGGCACGCGGGGGGCTCCGGGGCGCGCTGCCGGGCCCGGCGCCAGGGCGCGTCCGGGAACAGCCTGTCCTTGCACTTTGGACCTGCCGAGAGCACTGGCTCTCCCACAGGCAACCGGCACCGCGCCGGAGTCCCCTGGCCCAAAGCCACTGGCACCTGGGGCGGCTGCGCCTGGCAGGCGGCGAGAAGCCGTCTCCGACGCCCGCTTCTGTGCCGGGACCGAGCGCGGCGGTCTCCGCGCCGCTCCGCCGGGGCAGACGGCTACCGGGTCTCCAAGGGAGCCGGGGCTCTGTCCGTCGGCCCCCGCCCAGCTGCCCTCGGTCCCCCTCGCCCAGCCACCCTGCCCGCGCTCCTGTCCGCGCCGGAAGACTACTCACCGAGCAGCTCCCAGCTTCCCCGAGAAGTGCTAGCGCGGTTCCCACGGGACGCACTTTTAAACCCTAAGGGGACAGGTCCCTGGAAAACCCCGTTTTTCTCCCCCAGCGAGGCTGGGAGTTTCCGACTGGGGCTGTACGCTGTGCCTCTTGCCGGGAACCAAGTCCCCGGGCTGGCACTGTAGAGGCCAGTTTTAGGTTTCTATTTCTTGCTATTTGGGGGCTCCTTGATAGCGACAGGATTGAAAGGGCATAACTCTAAATTCTAGACCCTTGCTGAGATCGAATCTATTTTATTTGCGCGAAATAGAGACTTCAAATGGACAAGGGCGGAGAGGGGCGAGCTGGGTTCCGTTGGCAGTTATGTGGCCAATGTAAGAGCCCAGGAGTTGACTGGCAGAAGAAATGGGGCAAAGAGTCGTGCGGGGAGAGGATCTGCTGAGGGAAATTGGAATATTTTACAGTAAATTCTTCCTCAAGCCTAAGGAGCTGGGTGGGGGAGGGCGCGGGAATAGGGAGCAACTTGTTGGTTCCTTTGGTACCTGGTTTGTGTGCTTTCCTGGGTCCACCATGAAATCAAAAGAGCCCTTTCCTCTCTGTAGGTATTAAAGAATCAAAAATTGACATAGCCTAGCATTACCAGATCAGTAACAAAATAAAGGGGCAAGGTATAGAAGACAGTGGTGGAGGAAGATTTATAATGGGTGTCCTCTGGGAGTTCACGGAAAATTAGAAATTAGGTCTATCCCTATTTTTCTTACAATGCCCATGGGTCTCCTGTAATTACTTCTTTCTGGGTCACTTCTGGTTCTATCCAGTCCTTGCATCACCTTTGACCTGAAGTGAGAGCTGAAACAAGAAAAGGAAGCTAGGGTGTGCATCATGAACAAGGAGCCTTTATTTCCTGCAATATATCCATCTTAATCGTGTACTGTAAATTGTTAGGAGCAAGCAATGTTAGAATTCTAACCTTCGAATAATGAGTATAATAAGTGGCTTTCTGTATTTTGTCGCAATAGATTTCACTAGAAGTTTAAGGATATGGTTATTCTTGATCATTTTTCTTTGCTACTTCTTTTGGGAGTTATTGAGGACCTACTATGTGGTCCCCAACTGTGCTGTCTAGTTTAGATAATCTAATTATATTTGAGGACTGAAAAATGGAATAGTAACAAAAATGGAGAGCTGAGAAAGATCAGGAAACCTGAACAAGGATAAAGGAGAATTACACACAGCACCACATCAATGTTTAATGTCTTCTTAAACAAAACTGGAAAAGGTCATTTCGTAGGATTAACTTACATGTCTTTTTCACATGTGAGGTGTTTTTTTTCTTTCTGGTTTTACCTTTGACACACATGCCAATGTAACAACAGCAAATAAGCAGTGTCTTTGTTCCTGAGATAAGAATGTATGATAAGCAGTGCTCCAGAACTTGTTTAGTACCTTAGTGAGGTTCAAGGTGGGTTGTTGTAAATTTCCTTTGACTGCACAACTCAGTTGTTTTTAAAAGCTGAGTTTCTAGACTCTTCAACCTGACAGACCTGGCTTTGAATCTTGCTTCTTACCAGACACATTATACATGGGCCAAAAAAAGTTTCTTTGGGCTCCGGATTCTTCATCTGCAAAAATATTAATAATTGGCATGTTATTATATAATACCTCGTGAAACGGTTATGAAATATTATATGCAATGTCATAGGTTGACTTTAGAAATGTCCTTAAGTATTTATCATGGGATTTGTGGAAAAAATTTACAGTCCAATCTGAATGTACTTGTGGCAGTTGTTAGATTTCTTTACATGAACATCATTAAATTCAATTTTGTGACCTTAAAAAATTGATTTCTATACAACATATGGCTGTTTTCTACTCTTCATTATCATTCTTTTTATTCACCCACTTGCTTGTGCCAGTTGATCATATTAAAGTCAAGTCTTATACACTTCAATGTCTTCCTCTGCAACCTGAATGTCTTCTGACCATTTAAAAAAATTTTCGCCCTGGCTGGTTTGGCTCAGCTCTTGAAGCATTGGCTTGTGGACCAGAGAGTCCTGGGTTTGGTTCCTGCTGAGGGCATGTACCAAAAAAAAAAAAAAAATTCTCAGTGAAAGTAGCTCTATGCATTGTTTATAATGAACAGTCAATTAACACTTATTGGTCTTGAAGGCTGATAAAAGATTGGATTTGATGGAAACTAATTTGTTTATGTTCACTTTGACCCCATAGCTTAGGTAGCGGAGGCCTGGATGTATAATTTGGCTTAACTTAAAAACCAACAAGAATTTTTTAGACATCATTTTGGTTTAACCATATTCCCTACTGAAAACAAAGTCTCCAGTTTCAATCCCTTCAGGAGATCTAAAGAAAATCCCACAAACCTCGGCTCGCCTTGCATTATTCCTTAAGGTTTATCTTTTCTGTTACCTAATGAAAAGGTCAAGGTTGGGGGAAGTGTGGATGCCTATGTATAATCTGAAAACAAAATAAGAGTCCTTTTCCCATTGTGACAGTGTTAAAAGCAAGCGCAACCTTGGCACTATTCACATCACTCTCTACGTGGTGTGGAGGAAAGAATTCAGTCAGAGACCAAAGTCCAAGTTGGTCTGAAGAAGTTGGTCTGAAGCGCTGGGTGAGTGTGCAGCATTGTCCTTGAGGCGATTTCAAATCTAAAGAGTTACTGTGTTTCAGTGCCCATGTAGATTATGAGAATTAAGGTGCTTGTGAATAGAAGGGGAAATGGAGGGATCATTTAGTCTAAAGTTTTCATTTTACAAATCAGGGAGTGAAGCTTAAAAAAATGTTCTGTAATTCCTTCAGTCAACAACCCATGGGCACACCAAGGCGAAAGCCCCATCTCCACTTTGCAAACCCTATAGGGGCTAACTTCTTTAACGACAGTGGCAACAAAAGACAGTATTTACTGACAGTCAAATTATGTTTTAGAATTTGAAACTTGTAACAGAAAAAAAGGATGACGTTTTCCAGCAAGTCATCATTCTAAAGCAGTGATAAAATGTCTTTCAATGAATAAATAGGCTGATGTGAATTTGGAAGCACTAATTACTAAAACTTGGGGGGAAGAGGACAAAACAGCTGGTGCTCCATATAGAGAATAAAACAACCTCCTTTATTAAAGCATAAACGGCAGTCCTTTGAAATAACATTTATGTATAATGGTAAAAATGCCTCTTTTTCCTTCTAGTATTTAATTACTTAATTGTATTTATTTCCCTTACAGCTCATTTCAGGTTGTGTGTTGTATAACTTTTCCTTTATCATCTACTCCACCCAAAGTATACGTACTACATGGACACCTATAAGGTGACAGAGAAAAATGTGTCTCTCTACAAGCCATACAAATCTGATGACAAAGTTAGGACCTGGTAAACCATTGGTAGTTCTTCATGTTGAGAATTTTCAGGCTGAAGGAACAGAAATAGAAGAGAGCAGCAGAATAGTTTGCACTCAGAAGACCAATGTAATTACATGTTATCAAAAGGTGACAGCACCCTGGCCTGTTGCTCAGTGGTTAGAGCGTTGGCCTGCGGAGCAGAGTCCCAGGTTTGGTTCACAAAGGCAGTGGTTCTCAACCTTCCTAATGCTGTGACCCTTTAATACAGTTCCTCATGTTGCAGTAACCCCCAACCATAAAATTATTTTTGTTGCTACTTCATAACTGTAATTTTGCTACTCTTATGTCTTAAGTGACCCCTGAGAAAGGGTCGTTTAACCCCCAAAGGGGTCGCGACCCACAAGTTGAGAACCGCTGCGTTTAGGGCACATACCTCAGTTGCAGTTTGTCCCTGGCCCTGGTTGGGGTCGTGTGGGTGGCAGCCACTGGATGTGTCCCTTTCACATTGATGTTTTTCTCTCTCTTCCCCCCTCTCTCCCTTCCACTCTATCTGAAGATAAATGCAAAAATGTCCTCAGGTGAGGATAAAAAAAAAAACCACAAAAAATGGTGATGGCTGTTTCTGATAAAATCCTGGTGAGGCAGCACGCTCAGGTTAAAATCCAGACCTGGCAGCTGCTGTCTAGTTTCAGAAAAAGATTAACTTGCAGAACTATTTTGATCTTTAGAACTGATATGTATATGATACTTAACAGTGCTTGGCACATGGTAAGTATTCAATTAGAGGTCACTAGTATCATCATTATTATTAATCTCCTAAGTGAATTATTGCTTTTCATGTGTATAGATGTTTCATGGCAGAGGAATGAATAGAATCCACGTCTTTTATTTATTCTCTTGCCAAGTGTCAGTGACATATGAGGATGAGGGTCATGTAGGACTCATGTTTCTTCCCAGATCTGACACTCAGCCTACTTTCTTTATTTGTAAAATATGGGTCATTAATAGTGCATACCTTATTGGGGAGTGCTACCGATTTTGACATGACAGATGATATGATAGGCGGCAATGTTATTAGGAACTTTGTGATATATTTAACAGTCTTTAGGCCATTGTCACAATGTTAGTACCTTGGGTTCTAAGGGGTGTTGTCTTTAATCTTAATCAGAGAAGGCACACATGTAGAACATCTTGCACTTATCAAGTATAGTTATAGTTTATTTGGGAAACTCACAGGAAACATGTTGTTAACATAACCCAAGAGTCTACAGAAAGATGTAGCAAAGATTCTCTGGCAGGCTTATGAATAATTAAGTTCCTATATAACTAGATTTTAATGTCTCAGGGAACACAGGCTCTCTGTTCTATTTTTCCTTTGTATTGATTTTAGAGAGAGAGGAAGGGAGAGGGTGAGAGGGAAGGAAACATGGATGAGAGAACATCGATTAGCTGTCTCCTGTATCCCCCCAGTGGAGATTTGGCCCACAACCTGGGCATGTGCCATGACATGGATTAGAACTGCTGACCTCTTGGTACATGGGTCAATGCTCAACCACTGAGCCATAGCAGCTGGGCAATTTTCAATCTATTACTACTGCCTTAAATGATGCCATTTATAATTTCATTCCTTTTGATTAGACAATTGCCCCTAACTAGGAAAGCTTATAAAAAAAAAAAAAAAAAAGATTAGAAATTTTTAGTTAACAGGATGTGAACTTAATTACTGGGTTTTTCTAACATATCAAGAAGCTAAACAGAGCAGTGTTTGAAGAGAATATGGGTCTCTAGGTACTTAGAAACAGAAGCTACTGAAAAGATGAGTCTCAAAATATAAATGTCAACGTTGTCAGAGTTCTGGGAAGGGTAAACCATTATTAAAGATAAAAAATATAGTCACAGAGTAGTAGCATGGAGGTCAACCTGCAATGCCTTCTGCCGGAGGCAGCTGGGCACCGGGTTTTACATGTACACACAATCACATGCCACGAATCATAAAATGCCAAAAACATGTAACTTTCTCATCCACCATTAGTTTACCTGTCCACCTGTAGATGCTTTTCTCGTGGGGATGTTCAACATAAGTCCAGATCGAATGAGTTATATTCATACCCTGTAGTGTTTCCCAGAAGAAAAAGAGGCTCCACCTCTGTTCTGAATTGCTCTTTTCCAAAAAGTAATTTCTCAGCTAAAATGTGAAAGAAACCTAAACACTAAAATTCTGCCCTACTTTGGTTGTTACTTAATATTTAATTTTAGAGTTCTTCCCACTTTATCCTGACACCGAGGTGTATGTTTACAATGATTAGAAATACGTGACCAGGCCCATTCAAACACCACAATCATGTTAGATAATATGACTTATAACGTGTAGCTTGTTCTTACTTACTGTTGACTTTAGTTTCTTTTAGGTATATCTTTGGAATTCCTCCCCTGATCCTCGTTCTGTTGCCAGTCGCGTCATCTGATTGTGAGATTGAAGGTAAAAGTGGTGAAGAGTATCAGCATGTTTTCATGGTCAGCTTCGAAAGTTTGGTATGTGCTGCTTGTGTTTTTCTCACATTTTAACTCATTGGGGAAATTTGACACATACGGTCACTATGCAGTTTGATAGTCAAGTATCCATTTATAATTCTTGAAAGTAAAATAACTAAAGAATAAAAGTCAGTGAGCCACTCTGTATTTTCATAGCTGGCATCATTTTACCTTTTAAAAATAATTTTTTTCTAGACCTTCAGACTCCCACAACTCTCCACGTCAGCTCTTCTGCCCTTTACCATCTAACTTCTTGTGAGCATAATTCAGCAGAACTGCATTTCCTCACCTCACATTAACAGCTAGTCTCTGTAGAAGCATTACATCAAGAGAGAGAAAATAACAAAATATAACATTGATAAATGATCATGAAAACAGATAGTTATTTTATTTGTCTGAATACGTGTATCTGCATATATATACATATATATGTATATATCTATATATGTATGTATGTATTATTATATATGTATAGATAATTTGCTGTGAGTTAATTTTTTAACCACAGATTTTTTAATAATAACTTTTATTTTTAGAGCAGTTATAGATTTACAGAAAAGATGAGCAGAAAATAGTGAATTCCCACATACAGTTTCCCCTATTATTAAGTTCTTGCATTTGTGTGGTATATTTGTTACAATTGATGAACCAATTTTGATACATTATTATTAATTAAAGCCCACAGTTGACATTAGGTTTCACTCTTTGTGCTGTATATTCTATGGGTTTGACAAACACATAATGTCATGTGTCCACCAATACAGTGTCATACAGGATTCACTGCCCTGAAAAGTCCCCTGTGCTCCTCTGATTCCTCCCTCCTGCCTTCCCCTTGAACCATGGCAACCACTGAGCCACTTGTGGTCTCTGTAGTTTTGCCTTCTGGAATGTCATGTAGTTGGAGACATGCCGTATATAGCTGTTTTATACTGGATTCTTTCATTAGTAATATGTACTTATGGTTCCCCTGTGACTTACTGTGGCATGATGCCTCCTCTCTTGTTATTACCAAATAAAATTCCATTGATGGGATTCACCCCCACTTGTTTTTCCATTCACTGACAGAAGGACGTTTTTGGTTGTTCCCAATTTTTGGCTCTGACGAATAAAGCTTCTATAAACATTCATGTGCAGGGTTTTATGTGGACATACAAAGTAAGTTCCCAACTCATTTGGGTAAATAGCTAGGAGAGCAATTAGGGGATTGTGTGGGCAGACCATGTGGAGCTCTGAATAAAACTGCCAGACTGTCTTCCAAAGTGACTATAGCATTTTTCATTTTATATTTCATGACTTTTCGACATTTCTTGGATTAAATGATGCTACAGAATTAATCTTTCTGAGTCAACATAATGGTTTTTACTTAATTTTATTATCTGGGCAGGGCATCAACTAGTATTAGTTTAGCAACACTCATGTGAAACTAAAAAAAAAAAAAAAAAAAAAAGATGTTCTTGGCAATTCAAAAGGAGAGTTTAATCACCAGATTCACAACCCTTTCTTTTCTCTGGAAACACAGAGGAGCTGATCTCATTAAAATACCCAGTCCAACAATGATACTCTTAAAACAAAGCAAAGCATGGCTACTGGTCTTAAAGAGATTAATTCACAAGACATGGAAAAGCATGTGACCTAATCAATCCAAGTGAACAGTACCCTGATTATCTCAGGAAAGCTGTATTTGTGTGGTGATACATTTGAGGGAAGGAGAGGAAGTCACAAAGAATTGTACCAACACAACTGGTACAGAGGATTGGATCTCATTCAGTGCTCACTGGATGCTTTTCAGCCATTTCTGTGTTAAAAGCTCAGGGAGACCGTAATAACACTAACACTTTGAAGTACTTGTTGTATTCCAGGTGAGAACTAAGTCAAACTTCTCAGTGTCCCTATCAGAGAGGTCTTCTTTTACCTTCATCGCACAGAGAGGAAGGGGCTGCACAGGTTATATTAGAAAGATTTGAGCCTCTGCTGGTAACCAGCACCCTCTCCTGCCTCCTGATAGCAATTTATGTTAATTTATTCACTCAACCAACATTTATTTGGGGCCCATGTACCAGTTATTATGGAAAACCCTTTGGTGTGTTGGGATGGTGGAAGATTGAGGATAAGGCAATGATGGCCCAGATATAGACACTTCTTTTAAGAAGCTTACCTTTGGTGATGGTTAGGGCTTGGGGTGAAGAATTCAAGTTGCAGCTTGAAAAGGAGTGGCTGCCATCTGTCATCTCAAACAAGCAGATGGGTTGTGAGCCAGATTGGGACACAAAGATGTAAAGTGTGTTCCAGGAGGAGGTGAATAGGTTGCTTGGTGCTAGGAGAGACACCACGTGGTGGGGTAGCCAGTGGTCTCCACACGTTTTAGACAGTACACCCTTTTCGTAAAATTATTTTGAGCCTGTACTTCCGATACACATTTAACATTTAATTACATATGACAGAATTTCATGGTATTTTTGTAGACATTAATAATGATTCATACAAAAATGAAAATTTATCATGATGAGATAAAAACTAAATTGTGAGGGAATTTCTAAAACTTTAAATTGTGCACCGTAGACTCCACTTTGAAGACCACGTATGTAGTGGAAGACACAAATGAACCTATGTATTATAGCAAAATTGGGAGCCATCTTGATATAATGGTATTTATACTTTATTCTTAACATAACTAAAAGTTAATGGTGATTCAATCATAAAAGTAACACTGAATTAAAATACAAATTTTTGAGCATTTTCTATGTGCAAGGTGGGCCATTATAATAAATAGTGGTCTTTGTTCTATAATCTATAGGTACAATGGAGACATGTGTCACTATAACACAAACTGATTATAGTACATGTCTATGTAATTAGGGTACTGAAACCCAGATCACATAGACAGCAAGTGGAAAAGCTGGAATTCAAATGCAAGCATTCTGGTTCTAGAAAATGCCATTATGAGGCAAAGCAGTTAATTGCCCCCACCCCCACCCCCTTTATGAGGGACAACATGGTTTAAGGAGTTGTGATGATAACTGTAAGATGGTGACAGGACTGGTTGAATTGTAGGGAAAGGAGTCAGGAAGCCGAGCAGGTGTGAATACTGTTGCAGGCATCTAGATGAGATAAGGTGGAATTTAGTTGTGGGAGTAAGAAAATAGAAATGATGAGAACCATTACACAGAGTCCAAATAGGGTCTAGGGCAAGGGTGAGATTCACTCTTTCTACCTTCCACAGAGGGAAAGGCAGATCCCTAACAGTGATAAAGGCAATTGATAAAGGAAATTCAGATTCAATATTTCAATCGCCTAAAATTGGGATGACTGAGCTAAATAGAATCAGCATTTTAAGTTTCTTAATACATATAACCAAATTAGTTTCCAGAAAGGACCAATCAGTTTACACTTCTTACAGTAATAAAGCTCTTTTCAGCATGTAGTATTCTTATTTTTATAAAATCTGTCAGGGCAATGGAAAAATGACATTTTGTTTTGATTTACACCTACATTTACATTTCTTTGCTTGTGACATTGCCTGTTTTTTTATGCTTATTCATCTTGTATCTTCTGTTTAATTATTTTGCATTGAGATAAAATGAAGTTTACTTTTTAAAGTGTACAATTTAGTGGCTTTTCATATATTTACTAGTTGTAAATCATCACCACTTTCTACCTGCAGAACATTTTCATCACCCCAATGAGAGATTAAACTCATTAGTAGTGACTTTCTATTCCCTATCACCAGACGCTGGGAGCCACTAATCTACTTTTTGAATCTATGGATCCGTCTTTTTCAGGCATTTCATATAAATGAAATCATATAATATGTAGTTTGTGCATTGGGCTTCTTTCACTTAGCATAATGCTTTCAAGGTTAACCATATTATAGCATGAGTCAGTACTTCCTTTTTTCTTATAGATCAGTAATATTCCATTCTATGGATAGACCACTTTTTGTTCATGCATTCATCGGTTGATGGACATTTGAGCTGTTTCCATTATGAGTAATGCTGCTTAGAACATTGGTGTACAAGCTTTTGTACTATTCTCTTGGATATAGACCTACAAGTGAAATTGCTGCATCATATGGTAACTGTATGTTTAACTTTTTAGGAAATGCCAAACCATTTCCACAGTGGCTGCACCCCTTTCTATTTCCACCAGCAGTGAATGAGGGAAGCCATTTCTCCATATCCTCACCAGAACTTGTTGTCTGACTTTTTTACTATAGTCATCCTAGTGCCTGCATTTCCCCATTGACTAATGATGAGGCATCTTTTCATTATTGACCATTATTACTGGCCACTTGTGTATGTTCTTTCAAGAATCATATCTTCAAATCCTGTGCTCACTTTTAAATTGTCTTTTTATTGTTCGTTTGCAAGAATTTTAAAATATATTTTGGATGCTAGAGACTTTTATCAGATGTGCAATTTGTAAATATTGTCTCCCATCCTGTGGGTAGTCTTTTCACTTTCTTTAGTGTCCCTTGAAGCACAAATGTTTTTGTATTTTTATAAAGTCCAATGTATTTATTCTTTTTTTTTTCTTTCTGTTGGTCATGATTTTGGTTTCATATCCAAAGTCACCAAGACTTACACACATTTTTTTCTAAGAGTTATAGTTTAAGCTCACTTTTAGCTTTTCGATCCATTTTCGTTAATTTTTGTATATGATATGAGATGTGGGGAAGTCCAACTTTATTCTTTTCCAGCTATTCCTGCACCTTTTGGTGAAAAGATTGTTTTCCCACATTGAATTGATTTATGAAACATCATTTCAACCCAAATATATGGCCTTATTTCTTGACTTTAATTCAATTACTTTGTCTGTCTGCCTTTCTTAAGGTCAGTCCCACATGGTCTTGATTACTGTAGCTCAGTAGTGAGTTTTGGCATTGGAAGTGTGTTATCCAACTATGGTTTTGTTTTTGTTTTTTCAAGATTGTTTGGCTGTCATGGGTCCCCATCATTTACATTAAGTCAGTTATTTATAGTTATCCTATAGATTGTC